TATAAATGGTGCATCAAAGTCCCTACATATCTTTCGATTTGCGTCAAATTTGGTATAACGTACTGAATTGAGCCTAGAGTGATGTCTGGCAAGTTTCGAGAAAATCGGTCCAGGTTTTGATATAGCTCCCATATATAGTTTCGTCCGATTTCATGTAAATGGTGCAACAATGTCCCTATATATCCTCCGATTTGCAAGAAATTTGCCATAACGTACTGAATTGAGCCTAGAGTGATGTCTGCCAAGTTTCGAGAAAATCGGTTCAGATTTAGATATAGCTCCCATATATAGTTTCGTCCGATTTAATGGAAATGGAGCAACAATGTCCCTATACATCCTCCGATTTGCACGAAATTTGCCATAACGTACTTAATTGCCAAGTTTCGAGAAAATCGGTCCAGATTTAGATATAGCTCCCTTTTATTATAGATTGATTTTAAGTAATTGACGCACCAAGGAACCAATCGGCTGATAGGAACAAAACGTACTGAAATTAGTATAACCTAACCTGTGACAAGTTTCGTTGAAATCGCTTCATATTTGGATATAGCTACCATATATATTTTCGAGCGATTTTTTTTAAATATATTTTCAAGGACCAAATAATCTATGGATTTTTTAAAGAATATTTATTTCAAGAGCCAATTATCTATTGATTTTTTAAAGAATATATTTTTAAAGAATGTCCAAGCGGAGTGGATTTTTAAGGGAATATTTTTTTCAAGGGTCTCCAAGAGTCTGGGGATTTTTTAAGCATATTTTTCAAGGGACAAATAACCACATATTAAACGGATTTTTCAAAGAAAACATTTTTAAGGGTTTCCAGGAGGCATGGATTTTTTAAATAATATTTTTTTTAAAAAAAATGTTTTAAGGTACATTTCACCCTAGGTCCCCACCCATCCATAAAGAAATAATTCACCTTTTTTTTGAAATGGTAAGAAATTCAAATATTTTATTTTCTTATTTATTTTTTTTTCTGTTATTTTTTGTAATTACAAATTTCTTCCTCATCATCATCTTAAGTAAATTAATTACAATAAAAATTAAATTAATTGTTGTTATGATGTTGTTGTTGTTCTTGTTGCAGTTGTTGTTTCTTTGGTTGCTTTGTTGTTTGGTTAGTTTTGTTTATTTTTTTTTTATTTTAGGTTCATGGGAAATTAAGCGTAGTTTTCAAAACTAAAGAATTCATTCTAACCTATAAATATGCTAACAATAAATTAAATACTCGATAAAGCAATAAATAATTGAAAATCAATTTGTAATAATTTCGCTAAATAATTGACTAGAAAACCATATACATAATAACTATTAGTGTTGTTGTTGCTTTCGTTAGTTATTTTAGTTTTTTTCATTTTTTTAAATTATTGTATATATGTAAATATACATATGTACTTAAAAATATTTTTTTCTTAAATCGAATGAGAATTATTGTTGTAGGTTGTTGTTGTGGTGTAAGAGTTTGAGTTTGTATGTGTGTGTGTTACAGTGGTCATGGTTTTTGGGGTTTGTTTTGTTGTTGCCGTTGTTTTTTGTTACATACAATGCAATAATAATTAATAATGATAATAATAATAATTATTTAATGTATAATATTAATGATCATCTTTGGTATTTTTTGTTGTTGTTGTTGTTCTGGTTTTTGTTTTTGTTGTTGTCTTATGAAAATGCGAGTGTGCGATTTTTTTTATTTTTGTAGTTTCATTCCCTGGTTAATGCACAGTGGTTAAAGGAATGTGAATGGGGGTTTTTTTGATACGAGACAAGCTGAAGGGGTTCTCTGTAGACGAGCAATTTTGCTAAAGGAATGGAAGGGGTATTCTATAGGGGAAATGTAAGAGGTCTCTTTGATCATGAGGAAAAGTAATTATATATAGACAAACATAAGGATTTATGAAGGAGGACGTTAAAAAATTTATACTCTTCAAATACTATCTTGATGGACGATTTTTTTTTTTAAATTATTAAAGAAGGACCAGCCCACAGAAGGATATTTTAAAGGAAAAATAATATGTTTAAAGGACTTCTTCAAAGAAGAATTTTTATTCAAAAATTATTTTTAAAGACTTTTTAATAGAGGTAAAGTTATTTTTTAAAGGATTACACCCTACAAATAGTTTTTACTTTTTGGCGTGGGGGAACTTTTTTCAATTTTTAAAAATTACTTCTTAAAAATTTCTCCGAACATCGGTTTTAAAAATATTATTTTCTAAGCACTACCTCAATGAATGATTTTTATACCCTTCACCACAGGGTATTATGTCATTGTGTAGGCAAAAGAGTCTTCAAAAGGCGTGAATTTTTTAAGGAATATTTTCGAGGGTCTACAAAAGGCGTGGATTTTTTTAAGGAATATTTTAGAGGGTCTACAAAAGGCGTGGATTTTTTTAAGGAATATTTTAGAGGGTCTACAAAAGGCGTGGATTTTTTAAAGAATATTTTAGAGGGTCTACAAAAGACGTGGATTTTTTAAAGAATATTTTAGATGGTCTACAAAAGGCGTGAATTTTTTAAAGAATATTTTAGAGGCAACTGTCAAAAGGAAAAGACATAGACACATGGTTCCTTTTGAGAATATGCATATAATCACTTTCTGAGTCGATTTATGTATGTCCGTCCGTCTGTAGATGTTAAATTGTAAACAAAGTACAGGTCGCATTTATGATCCGATTGGGATGAAATTTGGCACAAGTCACTTATTTTGGCCCTATTGAAATTGAAGAAAATGGGTTCAGATTTAGATATAACCCATATATATTGAAATTGAAGAAAATCTGTGGGGGTAATTTTGCATAACGATTTATGTGTTCCAAGTTTCGTGAAAATCGGTTCAGATTTAGATATAGTTCCTATATATAGTTTCGTCCGTCCGACTGTAGATGTTAAATTGTAAACAAAGTACAGGTCGCATTTATGATCCGATTGGGATGAAATTTGGCACAAGTCACTTATTTGGCCCAAGGACAAACCCTATTGAAATTGAAGAAAATCGGTTCAGATTTATATATAGCTCCCATATATAGTTTCGTCCGATTTAAGGTAAATGGGACACCAAAATCCCTATATATCTATCGATTTGCACGAAATTTGGTATAACGTACTAAATTAGGTCCGGGATGATGTATGCCAAGTTTCGTGAAAATCGGTTCAGATTTAGATATAGCTCCCATATATAGTTTTTTTCCGATTTAACGCAAATGGGGCACCATAGTTCCCATATATCTTTCGATATGCACGAAATTTGGTATAGCGATATGCTAGAAAGACGTGTGTTAAATTTGGTATAGCGCTCCCATATATACTAAATTAAGCTATATATCTATTAATTTGCACGAAATTTGGCATAACGAACTGAATTAGGTCCAGAATGATGTGTGCCAAGTTTCGTGAAAATCGGTCAAGATTTAGATATAGCTCCCATATATATTTTCCTCCAACTAAGAGTAAATAGGGCTCCAAAGTCCTTATATATCTTTCGATTTGCACGAAATTTGGCATAACGTACTGAATTAGGTCCAGAATGACGTGTGCTAAGTTTCGTGGAAATCGGTTCAAATTTAGATATAGCTCCCATATATGGTTTTGTCCGATTTTATATATATGCTGCACTAAAGTCCCTATATATCTTTCGATATGCACGAAATTTGGCATAGGGTACTGAATTAGTGTGTTAAGTTTCGAGAAAATCGGTTCAGATTTAGATATACATCCTATATATAGTTTTGTCCGATTTTATGTATATGCGATGTATATGTATATGCGATGCGATCGATTTGCACGAAATTTTGCATAGTGTAATGAATAGAGTCTACAATGACGTTTTTCAATTTTCGTGAAAATCGGTTCAGATTTAGATATAGCTCCCATATATATTTTCCTCTGACTTAAGGTAAATGGGGCTCCTAAGTCCCTGTATATCTTTCGATTTGCACAAAATTTGGCATAGGGTACTGAATTAGTTTCAGAATGACGTGTGCTAAGTTTCGTGGAAATCGGTTTATATTTATATATAGCTCCCATATATTTTCCTCCGATTTAAGGTAAATGGGGCTCCAAAGTCCCTATATATCTTTTGATTTGCACGAAATGTGGCATAACGTACTGAATTAGGTCCAGAATGACGTGTGCTAAGTTTCGTGGAAATCGGTTAAAATTTAGATATACCTCCCATATATATTTTCGTCCGATTTAATGTGAATTGTGCACTAAAGTTTGGCCGACCGGCACATAATTTTGTACAATGTACTGATGTTACTGTAGCCTTTCATTTATCAAGTTTTCTTGAAATTAGTTCAGATTTACATATAGCTCCTATATATACTTTCGTCCGAACGTGTGTAAACTTTGCTTTAAATATATTTATAAAATTTAGAATAGGTTGCAGAATGGCATATGTTGGAATTAATTAATGCCTATTGTAGACCCTTGAAAAAATATTCTTTAAAAAATCCACGCTTATTGTAGACCCTTGAAAATTATTATTTAAAAAATACACGCCTATTTTAGACCCTTGAAAAATATTCTTTAAAAAAATCCACTCCTCTTGTAGACCCTTGAAAATATTCTTTAAAATCTCCATCAGGCCAAAGGAAAATTAAAAAAGTACTACTTTAAGGAACTTGTTTTATGAAACCACTGTGCACTCTCATTGGTAATTTTATGACAAAGGCGAGGCGCAAGAATAAATGAAAATTATGTATAATTATTTTTCTAAAATATGATTTCCCAAAAAAAAGATTTTTTCCATTTTGTGGCTATAATTTTGCGAGTATTTTTTTGTTTGTTCATAAGAAAATGACGAATAAAATGATTATTATGTTTGCTCTCTGTTTTTCCTCTCTCAATCACTATCACTCTCCCACTCTCTCTCTATCGTGCTTCTTCTTTACTCTCTCAATAATTCCCATAATTTCTCTCCACATTGAGTGCATTTGACATTTGGTGTGTGCTTCTCTTCCAACTACATATGACTATTTTACGAGTGACACGACCACCTTCGTCTTCACCTTCGTGTTCATTCGTATTTTTCAAAAAAGCGTTTCTTTAAATCCGGCGGATAGGTTACATAAATATAATGTTCATTGTGCCCAACTTCATTTTGGATTATTTCGTGTGTCGACGAGGAACCCCTTAACGATTGCTGTGAACCGCTGACATAGCGCTGACGCGGTTCCAGGGGCCGCGGTATGGTGTTGTAGTGCTTGACACCTCCACCCCCTCCTCCGGAGCTACTACCTAAATGTGTTGCTGGTAATGTATTATCACAGTCTAACTGCGCCTGCGAATGATGACTGAGACTTGAGAGGGCTCCCGATGAGCCCGTGTTTGGTCCACGTGTTGATGCCAGGGTGTTATGGCTGCTGACCACTGTTGTGGCTATGGGTCGGCTACTTATATAGTCGCGTCGGTCTAAAATGTCCTGTTGGTAGGCCAGATTCTGGCTCGGCGCATGACGCAACGGTGTCTGTGCGCCAACGCCCGCTACGCCGATCCCCGCTGGCTGTCCGGTAGCCATCGTAATCGTAGGTGTACCCGGCCGACGCTGATCGCCGATGTAGCGTCTGGGGCTGTGACGATAGTCGTATTGCACTGGTTCGGGGTATAAATCGTGATGTCCGACCTCGGCCTGGGCCTGGTGGTAGTAGTACTGATTGGGGTGGTGGTGGTGGCTGCTGCTGCTGTTGGTGGTGGTCTGATGCTCGACGCTGCTGGCGCTCATACCATGCTGGTGATGGATCCCGGTAGTAGGGTACTCTTGAAAATGATAATGATCGGGCATTTGGGATGCCGATGGATGCTGGTGCGGCTGCTGATGCTGCGGCTGTTGGTGGGGGTGGCTGGCGGGTATATACATATGCTGGCGATGCTGTGGATGCAACAGATGAGCCGATGATGCCATCCCTGGCGGCAGATGCTGCTGCTGATGAGGATGCAGCAGATGCTCCTGCTGCGTATGGTGGTAGAGATGATTGGCGGCTGTTGTATTGGCATTGATTGTCGTCTCTTCGGAGCTGTAACAAAAAACTTGGGTTTTATCCAAAAATTTCTTTAATCGTAAGACTTAAGACTTGTGAGAATTTCAATTGGTTCTGCCAACGCAGGCTCTAAATCAACTTACTCAAATAGTATCCAAATGATGTAGTAACAAAAACAAATGCCGGAGGATAAAACGAAAATGAGGATTACAATTAAACCCCAAGGAAAGGCACGTGGCTCCAGCGGACCATCCTCCCAATAGCGATCGCAGGTTAGATACCAGCAGACGGCTTTGTTCATTTCCTCTGGAAGGAGAAAGAGAAGAAATTAAAACACCTAATAATACAAGCCCCCTTATATGCCTTGTAACATATAGTCTCGAAAAAATCCAACCCCTTTGGGGACCCTCGACAAAATATTCCTTAAAAAATCAGCAGATTATTTGGGCCTCGCCCACGCCTCTTGGAGACCCTTGAAAAAATATTCTTTAAAAAATCCACGCCTCTTGGAGACCCTTGAAAAAATATTCTTTAAAAAATCCACGCCTCTTGGAGACCCTTGAAAAAATATTCTTTAAAAAATCCACGCCTCTTGGAGACCCTTGAAAAAATATTCTTTAAAAAATCCACGCCTCTTGGAGACCCTTGAAAAAATATTCTTTAAAAAATCCACGCCTCTTGGAGACCCTTGAAAAAATATTCTTTAAAAAATCCACGCCTCTTGGAGACCCTTGAAAAAATATTCTTTAAAAAATCCACGCCTCTTGGAGACCCTTGAAAAAATATTCTTTAAAAAATCCACGCCTCTTGGAGACCCTTGAAAAAATATTCTTTAAAAAATCCACGCCTCTTGGAGACCCTTGAAAAAATATTCTTTAAAAAATCCACGCCTCTTGGAGACCCTTGAAAAAATATTCTTTAAAAAATCCACGCCTCTTGTAGACCCTTGAAAAAATATTCTTTAAAAAATCCACGCCTCTTGGAGACCCTTGAAAAAATATTCTTTAAAAAATCCACGCCTCTTGGAGACCCTTGAAAAAATATTCTTTAAAAAATCCACGCCTCTTGGAGACCCTTGAAAAAATATTCTTTAAAAAATCCACGCCTCTTGGAGACCCTTGAAAAAATATTCTTTAAAAAATCCACGCCTCTTGGAGACCCTTGAAAAAATATTCTTTAAAAAATCCACGCCTCTTGGAGACCCTTGAAAAATGTTCTTTAAAAAATCCGTAGATTATTTGGGCCTTGAAGAAATATTCTTTAAAAAATCCACGCCTTTTGGAGACCCTTGAAAAATGTTCTTTAAAAAATCCGTAGATTATTTGGGCCTTGAAGAAATATTCTTTAAAAAATCCACGCCTCTTGGAGACCCTTTAAAAAATATTCTTTAAAAAAGCCACACCTCTTTGAGACCCTTTAAAAAATATTCTTTAAAAAAGCCACACCTCTTGGAGACCTTTGAAAAAATATTCTTTAAAAAATCCACGCCTCTTGGAGACCCTTGAAAAAATATTCTTTAAAAAATCCACGCCTCTTGGAGACCCTTGAAAAAATATTCTTTGAAAAATCTACGCCTCATATAGACCCTTTAAAAAATATTCTTTGAAAAATCTACGCCTCATATAGACCCTTAAAAAATATCCTTTAAAAAATCCACGCCTCTTGGAGACCCTTGAAAAAATATTCTTTAAAAAATCCACGCCTCTGATAAGCCTTGAAAAAATATTCTTTAAAAAATTCACGCCTCTGATAAGCCTTGAAAAAATATTCTTTAAAAAACCACGCCCCTGATAAGCCTTGAAAAAATATTCTGTAAAAAACCCAAGCCTCTTGCAGGCCCTTGAAAAAATATTCTTTAAAAAATCCACGCGTCTTGGAGACCCTTGAAAAATATTCTTTTAAAAATCCACGCTTCTTAGAGACCCTTGACAAATATTCTTTAAAAAATCCACGCCTCTTGGAGACCCTTGAAAAATGTTCTTTAAAAAATCCGTAGATTATTTGGGCCTTGAAAAAATATTCTTTAAAAAATCCGTAGATTATTTGGGCCTTGAAGAAATATTCTTTAAAAAATCCACGCCTCTTGGAGACCCTTTAAAAAATATTCTTTAAAAAGCCACACCTCTTGGAGACCTTTGAAAAAATATTCTTTAAAAAATCCACGCCTCTTGGAGACCCTTGAAAAAATATTCTTTAAAAAAGCCACACCTCTGGTAGGCCCTGAAAAATATTCTTTAAAAAAGCCACACCTCTTGGAGACCTTTGAAAAAATATTCTTTAAAAAATCCACGCCTCTTGGAGACCCTTTAAAATTTTTCTTTAAGAAATCCACGCCTTTTGGAGACCCTTTAAAATATTCTTTAAAAAATCCACGCCTCTTGAAGACCCTTTAAAATTTTTTTTAAAAAAATCCACGCCTCTTGGAGACCCTTTAAAAAAATTATTTAAAAGATCCACTCCAGTTCATCCTTTATAGAGTTTCTTGTATCTCCTCCTTTTCTTCTCCCTCAACTTACCTTCCATATCCTTAAATTGCTGATCGGTCATGGATAGAATAAGGCCGCCGATGCAGCTTCGTACTAAATATTCACATTTCGCCTGCAGTTGATTCAGTTCTTCCGGTTTACAATTGGCCCGTATTTTTTGCATATTCGTCAATTGGCCATTCGCCGTTGTTGTGGCCCGACTGCTGTCACCCTCCTCATCGGAGGAGTTCAACTTCACACTGTCATTCTCCTTGGAGGGATTAGCCGCATATGAAGAAGAATCTGCATTCGCTTTGGCTCCATTCGATGTCGTTGAGGAAGATGACGATGAGGAGGTGGCTGAGGCGGAACCCGATGAGGCTGACGATGCAGTACTACTTGACGTCGTTGTGCTAGCACTGCTTGAGGCAGGTATACTACCACTATTACCTCCACCACCTGATGAATAGGATTTTTGTGATCTGGTCGATCCCGATGCTGATGATGTTGTACTGCCACCACCACCACTACTGCTGCCATAGAGGTGAGGTGCGGCCGATGATGATGTTAAGCTCTCTGCTGTGGGTGTTTGTGTGTGTGGCATATATTTTGTACGTGAGGCACCATTGTTGTTGTTATTGTTGTGGTTGTTGCTACTATATATATAGTTCTCATTAGAGGTTTCTAAAATAAAAGAGGGAGGAGAGGTTCGGAATTTTTGTTTTTTTTTTAAATATTTAATTATCGATATGCCTACCAGTCTGTTGACATTTAGTTTGGCCAATTTTATCCTGACATAATTGACGATTTTGTACTTTGGCTGTTCGAGATGCACCAATAGAGGAAGTTCTGAAAATCGATATAAATTTTATTATTTTCATGACCGTGCGAACAGCTTCTTGTATATATTTACCTGATGGGTAATAAACTTAAATATGCTACATTCGCCTTAGCCAGTGCGGAATTTTGACCAAATGAATCGCCCCAAACCTCAATTTCTGTCACAATATTCTGATCGCCAATTTTCAGCGATGATGATTCCTCCGTTTGAAATACTTCACAACGCATGATATCGCAATAGTCTGCTAAGCATACAGCGTCTTCAGCCTGGGTAAAAAATGAAAACAATTTAAAAATCCGATTTCCGACTAACCACCCTCCCACCTACCTCATTTATAATTGCTTTATGTCTTGTCTCAAAATGTAAATCCAAAAATTTCTCCTGATAGAAACTTTTGCCACACAGCCGGCATGTCCACTGTGTGGGCCGATCACGTTTTTTGGCATCTTGTCGGGGTGCAAAAATGTCACGAAATGGATGCAGCGGACATTCGAGAGGAAGTCTCACCTGCCAGGAGGAAAAGTACATCATTAGAATTTAATGGAAAAATTGAAAATTTACTCTCACCTGATATTTATCTAATATCGGTGTCCATTTTGAACGCACGATTTTTCGTACCAGACGACTGTTATCTTTCGAACACAAACGTTTGATGACATGTGTGTGGGGCCATGGTATTAGGAGGAAAAAGTAAATTAGAAAAATCTGAAAATAGATATAAGAAAAAAAATATTAGGAAATTAAAAAAAAATATTTTTAAAGAATATTTTTTCAAAGTCCAAATAATATACGAATTTTTAATGAACATTTTCCAAGGGTTTTCAGGAGGCGGATTTTTAAAGAAAAAATTTCAAGGGTCTACAAGAGGCGTGGATTTTTTAAAGAATATTTTTTCAAGGGTCTACAAGAGGCGTGGATTTTTTAAAGAATATTTTTTCAAGGGTCTACAAGAGGCGTGGATTTTTTAAAGAATATTTTTTCAAGGGTCTACAAGAGGCGTGGATTTTTTAAAGAATATTTTTTCAAGGGTCTACAAGAGGCGTGGATTTTTAAAGAATGTTTTTTCAAGGGTCCACAAGAGGCGTGGATTTTTTAAAGAATATTTTTTCAAGGGACACTGATCTCCCCGTGGTGCCACCTAGGGTAGCTATTTTCATCACCCGATGAAATAGTGAGCTAATATGTGCCGCGAGTTCACCCATAAGAGCTATAAAAAATGGGTTAAGGCGTCGGGTTAGTTGCCCACATTCGGGAAACCGAACCTACTATGAAAAAGGAAAGAAAAAGAGAACCAAACCTACCTAATGTTGACGACCGCCGCAAACGTATAAAGGGCCACGATCTGCGAATATGTACTTGGAATGTGCGCACGTTGTACAGAACAGGCGCAGTGTTCGCCTTGGCGGATGAACAAGAAGTACAAAGCCGATATTATTGCTTTACAGGAAATGCGATGGAAAGGGACAGGCGTAAGTAAATCAGACGATTACGCCATGAAACGAGACATAAATTTGGCTGCGGATTTATGGCCAACAGGAGAATAAACGACCACGTCTCCAGATTCACTCCAGTAGATGAGCGAATTGCTATAGTACAGTCTTATTTGCGCCCATGCTCCGATAGAAGATGGAGATCAACAGACAAAATACATTTTTACGAGCGCCTAGAAACAGCATATGATCGCTGCCCTGGCCATGACATTAAAATTCTGCTAGAAGATTTTAATGAAAAAATCGGAACGGAAAATATCTTTGGCCCCACCGTCGGAAAATTCAGCCTTCATGAAGATACATCAGACAACCACATGAGGTTGATTGACTTCGCTGCAGCAAAAAAACATGGTAGATAGCAGCACCAGATTCAAGCATCACGATTTACACAAGGGCACCTGGATTTCTCCTGATCAAGCAACGAAAAATCAAATCGATCATGTTGAGATAGATGGAAGGCATTCATCCAGTGTTTTAGACGTCCGATCGATCCGAGGAGCGAATATCGATTCGGACCATTACCTTGTGGCAGCCAAGGTACGCACCCGTGTTAATGTAGCAGCAAAGGTGCGATCTAACACAACACAGAAACTCGACGTCTTACGCACCTGTTTGACGAAAGTACTTCTTGTCCCGATAATAGGAGGGAGAGAAACGTATTTTCAGAAAAAAAGAAGAAAGAACAAGAAAAACGTAAGCGTGAGCAAATAGAGATGTATAGGAGTCAGAATGAAGTCCGAAAATTCTACCAACGGGTAAAACACCAAACCGAAGGCTTTGGTGCAGGCACATTCTCCTGTAGAGGTGAGGAAAGAAACCTAGTGACAGAGGATCTGGAAGGAGCATTTTGAAAAACTTCTGGTATCAAATAGTAGCGGTGACGAGGATACCCCAGTACCAATAATAGATGACGGTATAGAGTGTATACCACCTAGCCAAGATGAATTCAGAATAGCAATCAATCGGCTGAAGAATAATAAAGCATCAGGTACCAATGGGCTACAAGCCGAACTATTCAAGACTGGTGGTCAGATGCTGGTCAGGATCATGTACCAGCTGATAAGAACAATTTGCCGAATAATTGGCATCAGCTTCCTGTGTCCCGTGCACAAAAAAGGAGACAAGCCGATATGTGCCAACTTCTTCTTCTCCCCATCGCATATAAAGTGCTATCCAGTGTGCTGTGTGAACGATTGAAGGCAATGGTCAATGACATTATTGGACCATTCCAATGCGGCTGCAGACCTGGCAAAACCACCATTGACCAGATTTTCACTCTGCGCCAAATCCTGGAAAAGACCTACGGAAAACACATTCCACCGATTCGTCGACTATAAAGCCGCATTCGACAGCTCTATCCGTTCCATGTCTACGTTCGGCATTCCTGCAAAAGGTCAGCAGGTCAGCAGTTAAAGTCGGAAAGGGCCTATCAGAGCCCTTCAATACCGAACGAGGATTCAGACAAGGTAACACAGTTTGTCGCGTGATCTTTTTACGCAAAGGTGAACAGAAATGGCACTCTGTACACCAAACAACAGATGTTACTCACCTACGCCGATGACATCGACATAATGGGTCGAACACTGAGAGCGTTAACAGCCACCTTTGAACAAGTTGAGAAGCAGTCTGCCAAAGTAGGTCTGGCAGTAAACGGCGAGAAGACCAAGCTGATGATATCAACGCGCAAGACGTCCAGCAGACTCGGACCAACTGTGGAACTTGAGAACTACAGCTTAGAGGTAGTTAAGGATTTTATATATCTTGATACCGCCATAAATAAAACGAATGACATCAGTTTTGAAATTCTGAAAAGGATAGTGTTGGACAACAGTCAACAGTCCCCCTCCAGCCCGACCAAACTCACAATTTACCAGACGCTGATTCTACCCGTGCTGTTATATGGATCTGAAGCATGGGTACTTGCGCAAGCAGATGAGACAGCTCTTGGAGTGTTTGCAAGAAAAATGCTGCGAAAGATCTACGGGTCGGTCTGCATCGACGGTGAATATCAGCGTCGAATAAACCACAAGCTTTACTATTTATGCGCGGACATGGACATAGTCAGACGTATTGAGCTGCAGCGACTACAATGGCTAGGCCATGTTGAGCGAATGTTTGAGAGCCTACTGATGGTTCACGCAGAAGGGGAATTGGAGGAGATGCGCACAAGATCGACGCGCTTGGAAATCTTTTTATGCTCGGCTTATAGAACAACCGTCAGCTAAGTAAGTAAGTATCGTAGGCGTGAATTTTTTAAATAATATTTTTTCAGGGGTCTACTGATGCCTGGATTTTTTTAAGAACATTTTTTCAGGTGTCTACAGGAGGCGTGGATTTTTTTAAGAATATTTTTTCAGGGGTCTACAAGAGGCGTGGTTTTTTTAAAGAAAAAATTTTCAGGGGTCTACAAGTGGCGTGGATTTTTTAAAAGAATATTTTTAAGGATTATCAGAGGCCTGGAAGTTTTAAAGAATATTTGTTCAAGGGCCTGAATATTTGAAGTGTTATCAAAGGCGTTTATTTACTCGTTGCTATTGTTGAAAAATATTGTTTTAAAAATCCAAAAATTGGGGTTTGATTTAACCTTTAAAGATTAAATCATTCTTTATTTTACCTTTAAAAAAGGTCAAAGTTGTCACATGCTTGTCCATCTGTTAATATCAAAATGTTGACATTTGTTTTAAAAAACAAGTCTTATCAGGCTCTAATATCCACCACTCCTTGAAACAATTCATACAACAACAATACTAATATCATAGCAGGACCAACGAAACACTTTAACGCCATTACCATTTAATTGATAAAAAAACGGCAAACGGAAATGTTTGCCAACAAAATGGTGGCTGGGCACCATTTAAACGAACCGTTTTCGCCACAGAATGGAAAGTGAAAAATGCCGGAAATGTCAACAAAACTAAACTAATCGCAACCTTTACTTAATTGACACGAAACAAAAACGACAACCACATCTACAACACTTTCACTACAATTGGCATTTCTTTTACGCCCTATTTCCAGTCCTTCCGTTTTTTAGCCGAACTTGTTAGGTATTTTTTGCTTCTGGTGCTAAACGTTAAATGCACCAATGAACGAACCTTTGCCAGACGACATTAGATGGGGCTGTGACACATTTATGCAAATTTCGTTAATATGTAAAAGGATAGATGGATGGCTGTGTCCTGCGGAAGCACAGAAAACAAAAAACACAAAACAAAATGTTAAGAAATGCCAAAAATTATATACCAAAGTAAAGACAAGGAAAAAGAGGTATTACAACACACAGGCACACACGGCAGGACAGGTCTATAGAAATGTGTGTCAAATACCAATTAGAAGACACGCCAACTGGCTGCCAAGCCAAACACACAAAATATATGTGAAAGGATTGTGCCATACAAACTCACTTTTTATTTGTAGAGGTTTTGTTTTCATATATGTCCTTTTTTCAGTAAGGACATGAACATTCATAATAATAAGGAGAAATGATTACAAAATGGACTGTGGATTCAAAGGATAAAAAATAAAAAAAAAGTCCTAGACTCTTGGAAGGGTCGCCTTGTGGTAGACCCTTGAAAAAATATTCTTTAAAAAATCCACGCCTTTTAGAGAACCCTGAAAAAATATTCTTTAAAAAATCCACGCCTTTTATAGAACCCTGAAAAATATTCTTTAAAAAATCCACGCCTTTTAGAGAACCCTGAAAAAATATTCTTTAAAAAATCCACGCCCTGAAAAATTATTCTTTAACAAATCCACGCCTCTTGTGGACCCATTGAAAAAAATATTCTTTAACAAATCCACGCCTCTTGTGGACCCATTGAAAAAAATATTCTTTAACAAATCCACGCCTCTTGTGGACCCACGCCTTTTTGAAAAAAATATTCTTTAACAAATCCACGCCTCTTGTGGACCCATTGAAAAAAATATTCTTTAACAAATCCACGCCTCTTGTGGACCCATTGAAAAAAATATTCTTTAACAAATCCACGCCTCTTGTGGACCCATTGAAAAAAATATTCTTTAACAAATCCACGCCTCTCGTGGACCCTTTGAAAAAAATATTCTTTAACAAATCCACGCCTCTTGTGGACCCTTTGAAAAAAATATTCTTTAAAAATCCACGCCACTTGTGGATCCTTGAAAAAAATATACTTTAAAAAATTCACGCCTCTGGTGGACCCTAGAAAAAATTGTTTAAAAAAAATCCTTAGCTCTTTTGGTATTTAAAAAATGTTTTTGGGAAATTATCCTTTGTAACCACTGTTTGTTTGATGTTGATGATTGCAATAGGCCAATTTCAGTTGTGGCCACAATGGCTATCGTTGTCCTTTTTGGTGGTGATGGTGGTTGGCCGATTGCTTCTGCAATAGCGGATAACCGACATGCATGTGGCCAACACATATGGATGGTCGTTCGGTCGGTTGGTTGGCCTTAAAACGCGCAAAAGGCAATTTCCGTTTAGTATAACCATCAAATACCGCTACATACCACATAGAGACACAAACACACACATACACCACAATAATAATCATAATAAAACGGCAACGTTGACGTATAACGAACGACGTCGACGGCCATTAGCACATGCACTGTTATTTTTAGGTCATTTCGGTGAGAAAACAAACAGACCCCAACAGGCACACAATGCCGCATGAACAGTTATTTATGTACTACACTCACTCTCCACACAGCCACTCACACACACGCACACACAAACAAAGCTCCACTCAAAACAAACTTTTTTCCCCTTTTGGCGAAAGAAGAGAATCCTGTTAGAGGCGAACACAAAAAGTAGACATTCAGCAGTCAGTCAGTCAGTGGTGGCAAGGCGAAAATGAAGACAAAAAAGGAGTACAACAAAATGAGAGCAGACATACACACACGCACGCATATTTCTCATTCCAAAAAATCGATAACATAGTTTGACAGGACTTTTTTTTGAGGAGGAAAACCCGAAAGAACGGGTGGACGGACGAACAGCGATGATGATGATGATAAAGAAGAAGAGAAAAAGCAGTAACATTTATATATAGATTTATGAAAACTGAAAAAAAATGAAATGAAAATGTTCACAAATTCGTTTCGTTTCGTTTCCTTTTTTTTTTTTGTTTTTTTGATAGCTGGCCTGTCATCAACATTTATATAATCCACGTTTTTTGGCCATTAACTCACCTCTAAATTAACAATTTTGGAACCCATACATAATACGTTGATCTTTGCACGCACAAAAATGTATCCTAGAAGAATTTTTTTTCTTTGGTATTTGTTGTCGATTAAATATTTAAATGTATTCCCGTTTTCGTTTCACCACTTGACTTGAATTTTCTTCCGGAAAAAATAGGAAAGGATTTCGTTTTGTGTTTTTCATTCGTTATTTCACTATAAGAATTTTTCTAAATTTTCTTTTTTATTTATTTCGTTTAATTTTCACATCACTTTATTATTTTTTTTCCTTGTATTGCTTTTGTTTTAAACTATATTTTATTTTGTTGTAATAATAATAAAAAAGTAACTAAAGATGAATTGTTGAACACTTATGAAATATAATTAATATATATATGTACATGTACGTCTACACCTGTGAAAATGTCTTAACTGTCTAAGAAAATTTCTTGTTCGGTTGTGCTTTCTATTCCTGCTGCTACTGGTTTTCTTTTTTTTTTTTGTCTATGACAGAGTCGTCCTTTCACATTAAGTTGACAGTAATAATGGAGAATAATAGGGTGAGAGAGAGCAAGCATGCATATTTGTGATAACAGAATTATTTCACGCACTCTCTTGCTCTCCACACAAACATAACACTACTATTACTATTTTATTGAAATATTTTTAAATAACTAATATTTGATTTAATTATTAGTTAATTTTTCCATTTATTTCTATTAATTGAATTATTTTTTATTATAAATTAATCATTATTATATATTTTCTATTAAAACAAATAAACTTGCTGTTTATTTACATATGACCGTTAGCGCTCTCTTCTGCATGTCATTAGTGTTATTTGCCACAATAGTCTGAAGGGTTACCACTGTGTTTGGTGTGTGTTATTGTGATTGTTATGAAGGGGAATGTTATTATTGTGAATTATAACTCAATGTTCTTACAAAATGATGGGAGAAATATAAAAAATGAATTATTTTAATTAAATTGCTCTGTTTTCTTTTAATAAATATAAATTTATATTAATTGTTAGGAGTTAGAAGTGTATTTCTATAAAAAAAGAAGTCCAAAAAATTAAAATAATAGGGAGTCATTAAAATATTCTCTATATTTTAATGTCATATATACTAGTTACATGGAGACTCTTTATAGACGAGCTTATAACACAATAAGTAGATACTCCATTTAGCGCAGCTGACTATTCGATTAACTGTCAAAGTGCATAGTTTCTACTTGAATTCGACGTTCAAAATAAAAAGGCCTACGATGAGCACTGGAGTCTTTACAGATCATAAAGTATATTCACCCTTATGGCGGAAATTGGAGAGATTACATCCATGGTGCTGTCCTAATGGGCACTTCTGTTGGAAAATGCGTAGGACTTTAAAAATACCGAGCTCTGGGGAAGTATGTAAAGGCTATACAAAGATCGGGAGGAAGTATTTATAGACTAACTCTGGAGGGAGTCTTTACAGACGATCTCTAAAAGGAGTATTTATAGGTTAGCACAGAAGACAGTCTTTATAGACGAACTGTGGAGGTAAATTATGTAGACGGGCTCTGGAGGTAAACTTTATGGACGAGCTCTGTATGGAGTCTTTATAGACAATATAAAGTTTATTCACCAAGGTACGGAAATTCAAAAGTACATCCACTTCGTAATCCTAAAGTTTAGTCATTTCTCTTGGAAAATGCGCCTACGGCCTTCAAAATACCTATTGAGTCTGGATCTTTTTGTAAAGGCAATACTCAAAGATCGACGGATATAAAAATTGGAAGATCTTCCTTCGAATAAGATCTCAAATAACCGAGTGCCTATGATCCCATGTTCTACCATCAGTGTTCTACGGTATGCACTCAGGGTACCGACTGTATTAGAATGGAGCCTTGTTGATACTTGGGCGCCTCAACAAGTTCTTCAGACTTAGTTGCCGAGTCCTTGAAATGGTTCGACACCGACCTCAAATCCTCACAAAATCCTTAGTCTATGCAGCCGAATTTTAATACAAGATCGGAATTCACTTAACCAACACACATGATAATGACCCCATCCTATTCCACCGTACCGTTATTTTGCCCCAAACCTCATTACTCACGATGACGTAAACGTAAGCCTGGACAGGCAGACGGACCTCCTCCTCAAACCTATCGAGGAAACCGGCTTAGTCACGAGAGCATCCCAAATCAACTCAGGGACGACTTACCTTGATAGACCAGGAAGACGTAAGATTTACCCGAGCATATCTAGGACGATGGTGGCCAGGACTTCTAAACCTTCAAATTACACAATTTTGAAATCAATCAAATTTCAAAACCAATTTTCAAAATAAACCCTGACATTCCATTCATTTTTCGTGTTTTTGTTAGAATTTCCCAAACATTGGCAAATCTAAAAAAAGAGTTGTATTATTGCAGTGAATACACAAATCATAACGTGTGAACCTCCTTAACTGAGAAAAGTGATGACGTTTCCCAAAATGAAAGTGACAACAGCTGATATCACCCCACAACGGCGTTTATCATAATACAAACGACGGCGTACAACACAAAACTACCCCCTTTGTTTTCTACAATCAACCAATCAAGAGCAAGCACGCAATTTTATAATAGTTTTTTTGTTAATACATCAACTTTGCCAGACAAACAACAGCGTTAAATTAAAAATATGAATTATTAAAAGAAAATCACCGAAATTAAGAGTGCAAATTATTGTAAAGAAATTATAGAAACGTGTAGTTATTAAAAATACAAAACAGTAGAACATAATGAAAGTCCTAGCTTTAGTTTTATTTGTACAAATCACATTCTGCTTGCTCAGTTCAGTGCTGGCCGGGCGAGATTTCTATAAAATCCTGAATGTACGCAAATCGGCGACAACAAATGAAATAAAGAAAGCCTATCGAAAACTTGCCAAAGAACTGCATCCGGATAAGAACAAAGACGATCCGGAAGCATCGACAAAATTCCAAGATTTGGGAGCGGCCTATGAAGTGCTCTCCGATCCGGATAAACGTAAGAAATATGATCGATGTGGCGAAGAGTGCCTGAAGAAAGATGGTATGATGGATCATGGTGGTGATCCATTTGCCAGTTTCTTTGGTGATTTCGGTTTCAATTTTGGTGGTAACGATCATCATCATCATGATACCCCTAAGGGTGCAAACATTGTCATGGATATGTATGTAACCCTCGAGGAATTATATTCAGGAAATTTTGTTGAAATTGTACGCAATAAACCGGTGCTGAAACCAGCAGCCGGTACACGTAAATGTAATTGCCGGCAGGAGATGGTGACACGTAATTTGGGACCTGGTCGTTTTCAAATGATGCAACAATTGGTTTGTGATGAATGTCCAAATGTTAAACTGGTCAATGAAGAGAGAACTTTGGAGATTGAAGTTGAGCCGGGCATGGTTGATGGTCAAGAGACACGCTTTGTGGCCGAGGGTGAACCCCATATGGATGGCGATCCAGGTGATTTGATTATTAAGGTGAAACAAGCGCCACATGAACGTTTCCATCGCAAGGGTGATGATTTGTATACCAATGTAACGATTAGTTTACAGGTGAGTGAAGTATTTAGTTTTTATTTATTTGTTTGTAAAAAGGGGGCGTATTTTGAAAAAGGGGAGGACACATGAAATATTTAATTCAATTAATATTTTTACAGAAGTACTACACAAGTCTTAAGGTCCGGATGCGTATAATTTTGAAATTATTAATATAAATATTTCTATGGGCCCTGGCTTTATTTCCTGACATATGGACATCCAAATTACCGCTGTGATCCTTGAATTTGTATGTTAATATCTCTGGATGTGTGTCCTATAGACCATTAAAACTTTTTGTGATAAAAATTTCAAAGCGATCTGCGCCCGTGCCCTACACCTGACTTGCTAAGTTTTTATAAAGGAAAGCATCCAGTTGTCTTATATTGACACAAAATGACTCGATTAGATAAAATATCTCGTAGAGGATTTCTATAAAGCTATAAGTTGAAGGCCTGAGAGACATCTAGAGGCCTTCTAAAACTTGAAGGTCTCCTAGAAATCTATAAATTGAAGGCCTGCTGGAGATCTATACATAGATAAATTGCGTATTGAGGAGTTCTTAGAGGTCTTTTGTACCAAAAGGCGTTTTAAAAAAATTGAATGGTTATTGACGTCTTCAAAAAGGAGGCTTCAGCACAAAAAGCTATTTTTAAAATAGGAGGATTGCTGATGACCTGAACATTTTTTTTAAATCAAAGGCTTGTGGACCTCCGCAAAACATTTTTTTTTTAAATCTGAGGCTGTATATCTTTAACAAAAATATTTAATAATAGCGGCTTGAAAACATTTTTTTAAAATCGGATGCGTGTGGTCCTGAAAACAATTATTTCATAAAAGGGAAATTTGTGGAAGAAAAAAAATTTTTTAAAAAAATTGTGGTGTTCATTTTAAGAATTGGAGACTTCTGGAATTATTAAAAAAGAAAGCAAAATCTGGGTAGTTTGGTGCACCATTTACTTAAAGTCGGACGAAAATAAATATGGAAGCTATATCCAAATATAAACCGATTCCAACGAAACTTGTCACAGGTTATGTTATACTAATTTCAGAAGTTTTGTTCCTATATTGGTTTCTTGGTGCGTCAATTACTTAAAATCAATCGATAATATATAAGGGAACTATACCTAAGTCTCGACCGATTTTCGCGAAACTCAGTACACATCATTCAAGACTCAATTCAGTACGCTATGTCAAATTTTGTGCAAATCGAAAAATATATAGGGACTTTGGTGCACCTTTTACGAAAATATCTACGGGAGCTATATCTAGATCTGAACCGATTTTCACGAAACTTGACAGACATCATTCTAGGCTCAATTCAGTACGTTATGCCAAATTTCTTGCAAATCGAAAGATATATAGGGACTTTGGTGGCTCATATATTAGCTATACGTTATTTTTGCCAAATTTCGTCCTTGGGAAATAAAGATGTGCAAGGGATTTTATGCACTATTCGGATTAAAATATGTACTTTGAGCTATAATTTAACATCTGAACCGAGCTGTGCAAAATTCGACTCAGAAAGTGATTCTATGCATATTTTCAAAAGGAATTATGGGTCTATCTTGTTTATAACATTCTACATATATATTTTTTTATTTTCACTTTTTATTTTTTTTCCTCATTTCAGGATGCTTTGGTTGGCTTCACCATGGACATTTTGCATTTGGATGGTCACAAAGTCTCCGTGACACGTGACAAAATCACTTGGCCTGGTGCACGCATACGCAAGAAGGGTGAGGGTATGCCCAACTATGAGAACAATAATCTACATGGCAATTTGTATATAACCTTCGATGTTGAATTCCCAAAGAAAGATTTAGACGATAGTGAAAAAGAGGGTATGTATTTTGAAATCATACACAAAAAACACATGCATACATGCACATAAAAATACTGATTAGATTTCTTTAAATTTGCTGATAATTAATTTGATTTTTTTGTTTATTTTTCTTACAGAACTCAAAAAGATACTGGAACAAGCATCAATAAATCGCGTTTACAATGGACTGTGAAAACTAATAGACTAAGTTGGAATACATTATTTTTATCAATTTCATTCATGTTTACTACGTCGTCCTCTCTTTTTTCAAACACTCGTGTGAAAGCAACAAAGACTTAAACATAATAATAAAATAGTAACAAATGAACACAATTTAGTTTTATAAATTAGTTGGATTTTAATTTAAATATAAATAAATACATATACATATAAATTGAAAATTATTTTGTAAAATAGTAATTGTCCGCAAAAAACAACAACAAAAACAATTTAAATTGAAAAATAAACGAAAAGAACAAAACTATACAAATTTTTAACTAAAAAAATAATTTATTACGATTTTCGATTTTTATTATGTTTCGCTTCAAAATTTTGATTTTATAACCCACATTTATAACTAGAAAAATTAACACTTATAACTCGTAAAAAAATGCTTTAAAAGTCCATGCTTACAACTCGAAAAAATATGCTTTAAAAATCCACACTTATAACTCGAAAAAATATGCTTTAAAAATCAACACTTGTAACTCGTAAAAATATGATTTAAAAATCCATGCTGACAACTCGAAAAAAATGTGCTTTAAAAATCCACGTATATAACTCGAAAAATATAGTCTTGATTTAGATTAGGCGAGTTTACTTGCGGCAAGTATTTGTTTGTAGGAGAGAGGGGCAAGGGGTATAGAAATGAAAAAAATTGCTCGTACCGACAATTTTCTGGCAATTCGTTTTGTGTATTTCGTATTTGTTGACATTTTATATATATTTGAATGTGAAAAAACAACAAATAAAAAAATATTTTGGAAACCGAATTGCCTTGTATAGACGCATGGAGCAAGTTCAAAAGAGAACGATAAAAATTGCCGCAAGTAAACTCGCCTAATATAAATCAGGACATACTTTAACAGCCTGTTTTTGTAAAATTCCAAACGAACGAATTCGAGTGACTTACGACCAAACTCCTTGGTTTTGAAAAATATGTCATTTATTTTTGTTTTGAATCAGAAAACCTCTATAAACATAAATAAATGTTTGGTCGTAAGTCACTCGAATTCGTTCGTTTGGAATTTTATAAAAACAGGCTGTAAAAATCCAAGCTTATAACTCCAAAAAATATGCTTTAAAATCCACGCTTATAACTCGAAAAAATATGCTTTAAAATCCACGCTTATAACTCAAAAAATATGCTTTAAAAATCTACGCTTATAACTCGAAAACATATCCTTTAAAATCCACGCTTGTAACTCGAACAAATATGCTTTAAAAATCCACGCTTATAGTACCGAAAATTTAATTTTTAAATATTAAAAGGCCTTAATTGCCTGTCTTTTAATTTATTTATTTAATTTATTTATTCTCTATATCAGCAAATGCAATAACGTTCAACTTATCTGTTGTGTGTCACCCTATAATATGATAAACAGCTGTTATCGAAAGTTATTGCTTACTCGATCAGTCAAAAGTCGACTTATAAATCCCTATCATTCACTGACAATACAACAGCTGTTTTAACATGCTTCCATATAGAGCATTTAGCCATTATGCTTTACATTTTCATTCCTAAATATCCCAACACATTCGTTCATTTTATTTCTTTTATTTTATTGTTTGGTTTTTATCACTTTTTCTTTGCCATTACGTTCAATTTATCTGCTGTGTGTCACCCTATAATAATGATAAACACTTGTTATCGAAAGTTATTGCTCGCTCGATTAGACAAAAGTCGACTTGTGAATCCCTATAATTCATTCAATACAACAGCTGATTGACATTCTTTCATATTGATAATTTAGCCATTATGCTTTACATTTTCATTCGTAAACGTCCCACACATTATTTTATTTTATTTCTTTTATTTCATTGTTTGTTTTTTTATTTTTATCAATCTTTTTCTCCATCCCCCCCACAAAATTCGTAGCATATGGAACGTTTTTAAATGAGATTGGTGTATTTGGTTAACCGTTGACTTTGACTCATTCAACCACAAATCACAGTCAGTTCATTCGAAGTTGGTGCGGCGGTCACCACTATCTATTGCTGCAAATTTATTTAATTGAAAGGTGTTACAATAACCAAAAACAAAATAAATGTAAAAAACCCCCAAAGCCTACAAGAAAAATGCACCACTCACTGCCCCAGATAAGATTAGAAAAATCTTGATTGCAAAAAAGAAAAAAAAAAACAACAACAAATCACATCACAATAAATCAAAACAAAAAACCAATAAGTGCCTGAATGATTTTGCCTTTTGCTTTTTGTTTATTAAAGTATTAGAATTATTAAAATAATTTTTGTTTTTGTTAATGATGTGAGTAAAGTGTATTCCAAAAAAAAAAAAAAAAAAAAAAAAAAAACACAATACAACAATTAATTTACCAGTGGTTAGACGCTCTGGAACTTGTGACGCATTTTAACTATGTTTGCATTGACGCCTTCAAGGTCTTCTTGCCATTAAGAAGAGGTGAAATTTCGCCATATATCCAGAAAACAACAACAACTACGGAGACATAAAAAGAAGGTAAGTCACAAACAATGAACTTGACTTTAAAAAATTAAAAAAAGAACAACAACAATAACATCACCTTAATAAATTCATACACATGCCAGTTATTTAGTATACGCTTTTTTGTGCATACGTATGTGTGTGAGTTGTTGTTTCAATTGTTTTGTTATTGTTATTTTATTATTAACAAATTATCATCTTTGTTTGCAGTTTACTTAGTATTTTGTGTAAAATATGGTAAATTGGGCAGTAGGAAAGGGCCATGACAAATGGTTTTCACATTTGCAAAGTGTTTAATGACAAGGGAAACCTATAGGGCAAAGCCATTAGAAGAGGAAATTTTATCATTTATATAATGAAGAGAAAGTTATAAAATGATTTGCTAAAAATTTCAATATTTGTTTCAAACCCTATAACCACAAAGAGATCTTAAACACATGGCAACATAGGTCTAGCTTAAGGCCCGGTTACAGATCGTTTTGAATTTTTATTATTATTTTTTTAAATTGTCTTCAAGCCCCTATATGAGGCGTGGATTTTTTAAATAATTTTTCAGGCCTCTATATGAGGCATAATTTTTTTTTTTAATATTTTTTTCAAGCCTCTATATTAAGCGTGAATTTTTTAATAATTTTTACCTAACTTTTTGACGCGTTTCTACTCATAATTAGGAAGAATCATATCCTTTCCAAGTGATGCACAACTAAAGTTCGATACATTTTCAGTTAAAAGGAAATTCATCTCTCCATAGGATAAAGTTTTAAATACCGAACAAAATGCTGGCCGGTCAAATGTCAGCCGTTTGTCATTACATAGGAGGAATATGTTTTGATTTTGGAACCGATTTTGGCTAAAAAGGCTGGCCATCTATGATATTTTAATTTTTTATATACCAGTGAGCGGAGCAGTATAGTTAAACCGGGTCGATAATATAATGCCCTACTCAACTATCACTGAAATCTAACTTTCTGCGGATCTATTATATATGCATTTTGAGCTGGGGGAATCCTCATCAATTCTCACAACAAGAGTCCTAGCCAACGTAGTCGCTGCAGCTCGATACGCCTAACTACGATGTCGATGTCCGAGAATAAATGGTACAGCTCATGGTTCATACGACGACGATATTCACCGTCGACGCAGCACGCTGGATAGCACTTTATATCCGATAAAAATGAGACTTATTCCTCTATAGCTGTCACATATCGTCTTCTTTCCTTTTTTGTGCACGAGACACTGGATGCTGATTTCCAATCATTGGGCATGTATTTCTCTAGCAAAATTGTACTAATTAGCTGGTGAATGCTCCTGACCAGAATCTGAGCACCGGTCTTGAATAGTTCTTCTGGTAATCTATCGGCATCTGCTGCTTTATTGTTCTTCAGACGATTGATTGCTCATCTTGCCTAGGTTGTATACACTGGGGGAGTATCTTCTTCACCGCCACTATTTTTTGATACCAGCAACTTATCAATATGCTCCTTCCAAATCCTTAACGCGCTATCTGCATTTGTCAAAAGGTTTCCATCTTCATCTCTACAGGAGGATGTGCTGTGCCAAAGCCTTCGGTTTGGTATTTTTTTCGTTGGTAAAATATCCGGACTTCCGTTCAGAGGTGTTTAATGTCATTAAAGTCTTCGTTCGGCATTCGATTTGATTCCAGGATTATTTGTTGAAAATGATTACATGAAGTTTACGCTCTAATCTGGTTCCTGCATAGAATTACACACGACCAAATTCATGTGTTTCTTTAAGTCTTTGGGCATAAAATAGAACGAAATAATCCAATGGCCATTAGTGAAGCAGATTTAGGTACAATTCTGTCGTCACAGACTGCCACGGTCGAAAAAAATCGAGTCTCAAGAGATACGAGAATTAAGTACCAAGCTAATTGGCTTTCTAGTAGAACTTTAGAGTCACTTCATAAAGGTGAAGTAGAGGAAATTGTATGCTTTTTGGTGAAAAGTGCTAACTGGTATTGATTTGTGACCGAACACAGACAGAAAGAAGTACCATAATTCTTGGAATAATACTGTGTATTGTTTACCCCTTGTCAGTACCACAAAATCATCGCCATAATCCGTTACTGTAAATCGAATTTATATCAACATAAAAAATCAACCCATCAAGTGGGAGTGTACTCTCTCTTTCTACTTTTTTTGGAGTTATTCATGTATTGTTGTTTATGATATGATTAAGTGATATATTGTTAATTTTAAGCTTTTGGAGTAGTCCATGTAAATAAGTTTTTGGAATCGCTTATGGCCCTTTGGGCTGGTTCTCGTTTATGAAGTAAATAGAATTGAATTAAAATATATGCCTTGATAATTCTAGTTTTTAGTAAACCATCGAACTGTGCTTGACACGTTTTTTACTTCATAACTATGCGGAAATATAATTTGGATGTTTGAGCAGACACACTAGACAGATATAATTAATCATTCATAATGAATATTTCTAAACGGTTTTCGAAGTATTAAATAAAAGAAAGTGATAAGAAACAACTATAAAGGCCGG